CAGCGATGCAGTTGGGTAACTCCAAACTGTAACTGTAGACAGTTACTGCTTGTTTTGAACACGTATTCGTTTCAAACAATCAAGTTGAAACTTTCTGCGTTCTTAAAAAGTGCAGCAGCAACAGTACCTCCTTGCTTGTAATGTTGGCGCCGCCCATAAAGCCCGGCCTCAGATCCCTCCACTCAGTCCTGCGGTGGGATGATGTCCGAGTTTGTTTGTGCAGAGTGCGGCCGCACCTTTCCGCACGGTAACCGACGCTCCTTCTTGTGACATGGTGGCCATGCCAAGTCTCCTCGTTCTCAGTTGCTGTCGCAAGGAGCACCCTATTGCCAGCCTCGAGATGATGTCCATCGACAGACTGTGCTAATTCGCTGCGCAAGCGCGAACTCTTCTTCACGGGGAGGGATGACATGCCAGCCAACCCTGAATCTAAGTCCAAAGGATGGGGATCAGTTTGCCGGATTCTCGTAGGAACTCATTCGTGCGATTCCAGTCTTTTGGCCAGTGCACAGGGAAGATGAGGAAACCGTTGCAAGATTCCTCCGTCGCTATGACTATGGTAGTCAGTGCTGCAGGCAAAGTCAGGCAATGCGGTGGATGCAGTCTGTGCGAAGCGTTGTCCTAAGCCACTTGGGACTAGTCTTCCAGTGTTGTTGGGCAGTGCGTAGCTGAGGATGCCACCTTTACAGCACCCAGCGACTCCGTTGAGCAATTGTCTTTTACATGAAGCTGGGACATCCTTGTTGTTGCATGGCACACATACAAGGGTTCTCTTCCCTTCCGCACTCCAAAGTGTTCAGTCCATTCATCCGCCCGTTCTTTTTGGCTTCCATGCCCTAGAGGCTCGAAAGACCACCGCAACAACGTTGCATAAGATGTGCGCTGCGCAATTCTCACCCAAGGGATCCCAGTGTTCTGGCATCCGCACGCCACGCGGCACCTTGGTAGAAGACGCGCCTCTAAGCTTGTGTCGTGGAGGGTGTGTTTGAGCATGGTGAAGTTCTCGATGCCGAGCAAGCCACCTGCACTGCGATAGTCCATTCGCTGTTTGAGCTGGGCATCAAGTGATCAGGCCATTCGCCGACCTTCCAGGGGGATCAGAGTGTTTTTAGCTTCCGCATCTTGTCCGGCTTTGGACCAAATGATGTTCGACGTCACGGCGAACATCGTCCTTGCAGAGGCCAGGATCTACCCCTCGCAAAACAGGAGCAACGGAGAAAGGCAGCCAGGCAAAAGGCATGTGTTGGCCGACCATGCAGTCGTGGTTTTTGCTAGCATGTCTGATTCTGATTGTAAGATCTTTCCAGGGTCTATCACCTTGTGAAGAGTTTCTGAAACGTAGTCCCTGGCCATCGAAACCGTGCCGGCCTGCTCTGGCTCGAGCTCGTTGTTTGCGATCTTCTTCCACTCACTGCGGGAAGGGCCCGAGACGTAGAACTTCGCTTTTGTCTTCAATTTTCACCAATGCTCCAGGAAGGCATGGTTGTTGTGATGGCGACCTAGACCTCGACCCCTCTCTTTCGCCATGGCAGGAACTGTGCCAGCTTGCGGCATTCTGCTCCTCGGCCCAGCACAGCTGCCCCGTTTGTTACACCCTTTTTGTTTTGCTTGCGGGCTCGCTCTGCTTTGGGCTTCAGCCCCATCCGAGACATCCAAAGCGTCTCAGCTTGCAATCTGACTCTGAGCCTAGGACATGTGGAGGAAGGATCGGCTGCTTCTCCTCGCTTTCTTGGCCACTGCGCACGCATTCAGGACGAATCCTGTTGCAGCAGGAAGGGTCAGCTGCGAATGCTGTTCCCCGGTTGGGTCATTGTTAGGCAAGAACTCTCAGAACTCCGTGACTGCTTGTGATCTAGATTGGTGGAACCTTGAGCCTTCAGTCAGAAGCTCCTGCCCCTGAGGTCAATGGCTTTTGCGTCCGTCTAAGCCGTACAGCGCGGGCATTTGACTCGGAGTTTCTGGAGGCCGGTGCAGAGGATCGCGGTTGGGTACCGGAGGCAGCCTCGCAAATTTTCGAGCGACTCATCGACATCACGACACCTGAAACCCAAATCCGCAGAAAACGAGTGCTGCCATTCCTCCTCAACCCATGCAGGACGAGGCACCTAGCATTGCGAGGCCCAGCACCTGGGGGGACGCTTACCTGCACACAACTGGAACTCTGAGGGCCCAGAGCCTGTCTTCTGCTGTAGGGTCGTACCTTGAGCGTCGGAGTTGCCAGTTCTTGGTTTGAACAGCGGTGAGACATGGGGGTGGCCCTGAGCTCGCGAGCTAAATCCTAGAAGTAGTGAAGACACCGGTGTCTTCACGAGGGAGGAGTGGGAGTAGGAACAGGAGCAGGCGAGGTGTAGGCGTAGGCCTCTGAGTAGGGGCAGGATGAGTCGTCGTGGTGGTGGTTTAAGGCTCTGTGACCCTTTTCGGCACCGGGAGAGTCTTCAGAACCTCGTGCTTAAGGACATCTTCGGCGAGGTCCGTGAACTCTTCTGGTCCCATGGATGCACGAAGGAGACCGTGTCGTTTGCCTTTCATAGTGCCACAGGGTCGTGAGCAGGCCGTGGTCCTTGGGGTGTAGGATTAAGTTTAAGCGCAGGGTGCGGGATTCGTTGAGCGCCCTGGAAGCGGTTGAGGATGCCAAAGTTGCCCGTCACCAGAGTTTGTTGTCGTCCAAGGACGTGAGATTGGGTCCGTTGATTGTGGTAAGGATCCGCTGTAACGGCATCTAAAGCAATCGCAAAAACACTGAAGTACGAGCAGCCGCAGAGTTGTTGCTGAAACAAACCCGAACGTCGCTTTGTCAAGTCCTTCTCAATTTCATACCGAAAAACGTGCATGCTATCCAGGCAGCTCGACTTGGTCTGGTTCCTAGCAGTGGTGGCGATCTCTCTGGCCATTGATTCTCGACCGCACAGACTGTGAGGGGATGTTTCGGTGGTGGACCCCTTGCTGTGAGGAGCTTATCAGGTCGAAGTCTGTCACAAACCGTTAGCAACAATTGGTAGTCCTCGCCCACATGCATCATCTCATGTCGTGCTAGCTTCGGAGAGCTCGACCAGACCGCATTCGCAGAATCAACTCAGACTTGTTGCTTTCCGTGTTTCATGGCCCTACAACTCCGACAGCCGGGGCAGCAAATAGATGCTGAGATCAGAACATGGAGGCTTCTCACATCTGAAAAAGCTTCGGCTGGGACCCGAAAATCAGAATCTCCTCAGTTAAACCTCGAACGCGAAAGCCTGAGAGGCCCTGTTGCTTCTCGAAGCTTCTCGGGATGTGTCAGAAGTTAAGCTTGGGTTCCTCTGTTGGTTCTGGAAGTCTTGAGACGGGTAAATGGGTAAAGCAACTTGAAGGCAGGCCATTATTGCTTTCCGAGGTATGCTACAGGCCACCTGAGATCGTGGGTGACACCGCCGACGATGGCCGCTAGCCCAGAAAGAGCTTCGGTAGTTTCATGCCATCTCGGCATCTTCAGCTGCACGTCCTTGACCCGACCCCGAGCCCAGAAGTCAAAGTCAACAGATTTCGACTAGGGAGCAGAGGGATGCTTTGGGCATGTTTCTGTGTCGGTGGACGAGGAGACGTCGATGACAAGTGGAAGCCGGTGCCGTGGTACAAGAGGCTCCTAGCGTCGCTGAGCAGCCATGCAGCGGGCATCGCCGGTTTCGTCGGCTTCCAGTGGATCGTTGTGGCCAGGCACGGGGGTTTGCAAGAAGCCATGCGGCTCGCTGACGACAAAACAGCATCGCGCGTGTGAAAGCTCGAAGTGCTTAGAGACGTGTTGAGCAACAAAGGGTCGTGTCAACCGAGTGGCCACTTAACAGGATGTACGTATCGTCTAGGGCCTAGGGTGTGCATTCTTAGAAGTCGCAACGGGGAGAACGGCATGCTTCCACACAGGATTGTGTCCACCAGCCAGCCACTTGAGCGCTTTTCCCCGGCCAACGTCCTGCTTTACACCAGCATCGCCATCTCCATCACCGCCATCTTCTCCAGCATCCTGCCCCTTGACTCAACGCTTCAGGACCATTTGCTAGTTCGACATGAAAGCCTCAGAGCTCTTGAGGTTCCTGGTGCTGGACTACCTGCGCCGCTTGGTCATCGACAGCGCCAAGGGCCGAGGCTACCGGCTCATCCTCGAGCCCGGCCAGCTCGAGCAGACAGGCATCCCATTGCAACATGTTTAGGCCAGCGCCAGCAACAAGTTCCGGTGTCTACGGCTCCTCTTCTCCGGAGCCTCTTTGAGGTCGTCTGAATCTTCGAAAACCCTTCTAGGCTGCGCGCGCGGCGAGCGCCATCTCCAAACCAGAGCTCTCTCCCCGAAGTGCATCAGTTTATGTCCAGGCCTTGGGGCAGCGTTGATCGTGCTGACAGCTGCGCTTCTCCTCCTGTGCCTGAGAAGCAGAATCTGCGGCGGTGGTTCGGAGGTTTAGTCTTGTGCAGCGCGTTCCCAACCCCGGCGCTGTTTCCAAAACGACATTGTGTGCTGGAAGGTACATGTGTGTCATCTTTATGGAGACCCAGGAGAACAAGAAGTTCCGCAAAAAGGACACGCGCGGAATGGACACTGGCTATGTCCTTTTAGCAGCTCCACCTCCTGAAACTGCCTGCCGGCAAGTCCTGTCAGGAATGGCATGAGATTTTGTGGGTGTTCCTGGACAAGGCAGGGCATTGTTTCCTTTTATGACAGCCTGCAAGCAGGAACAATCCAGATCTTGCTTTGATGTGGGGTGTGGCGGTGTGCTTCAGGGACAGACTGGCACCCTTGTCAATGGTATACATGGTAGGCTAACTACCCCTGTCCACTTTCGGATACTTGAAGCTTCTCCGCGAATCTGTCGTCGCAAGCATGAAGTCAGGTGTACAGCTGCGGCACGGTCCTGCTCTACTTCATCAACCTCCGGGGCTTGTGCGAGTCACCCAAGGCTTCGGCAGACCTTTGGGGTTGCTCTTTTCGGACTCCCATGTAGCGAGGTGTTCTTCCACCAAGCCTGCCACGACGTTGCCGAGCAGGAGATCGGTCTCAAGGAGCCCTGCATGCCGGGTACCAGCCATGACCACGCATGAGCCTTCGATTCTGTGAGGAGTTCTTAGAGGAGTTCAGCAGCCACAGCGAAGGGTCGGCCGCGGAAAGAGTTGCGAAGTGGACGCAGTTTGTAGCTTTCCTGGAGGCTCTTCCGGCAGGCTCGTGACTTCCTCGCATGGCTGGCCGAGCTCTTGGCTGGGGAGGACCAGCCGGGGATCTGGGGCTGTCGGCTTCAAAGAGTGTCGGGTTCACTTTAAGGAACACTGTGGGTAATTACTCAGGCCTCTAAAATTGGCCACAGCAGGCGCGGAAGGAACGTTTGGATTCCGGGATAAGGTTTGCAATTTAGGATTTTTGCGGATGTGGGTTTTCCAAAGTTGAGGACTTAAGCAAAGCGAGTAGCTCTTCCATGAAGATGCATAGTCACACCCGGATAAAAACCTTCCATGCAGCGCCTTCTGGCCGTGCCCGAACATCACCCATGACCCGATGTCAGCCCAGCAAGGTTGGGAGCTCTGTTGTGGCACAGTCTAAGCGAGTCCAGATGTGTTAAACCCAAGTATCGCAACTCGACATGTCACTGTCGAGACATGCCCAAAAACAGGACCTGAAGCTTTTCTTCCAGCTGGGCAGCCGTCGGGCCCTTTTCCCAAACCAACGCCTGGCCCCGATTCTCCACGTCGCGGCATGGCCCAGTTTAGTGGAAAGGGATCCAAGATGGTATTCGAGCGTTTGGTGTTGTATCGAGTCTATGTCCATGCCTCAGGACTGATAACCGCTCACGACCGAGGTAGCCTGCCTACTTCTTTGCGGCACTCTTCCTGGCATCTGCCAGTTCGCGACCGAGCGGATCTTCATCAAGCCAAAGTTCCTCGATGTGTGACCTGCCTGACCAAGCCATCTGCAGCTAGATCTTAGTGATGCCCCAGTCCACCAGGTAGCCTGCTTGTGCCCTGCCTACACTGTGACGAAGTGGTCCAGTCAGAAGACAATCAGCTAGAAGCCTAAGCTCCATCTGATCAGGAGAGCTTATTCGGCCACGGTTTTTCCGAGCTTCAATCCCTCCCGCGACAGCTACTTGCTGCTGTTGGACCGCGACCCTCGACTCCAGGTGAAGACCAAGTCTCGTCACACTTCGTTGCCCTACAGCACTGGACAAGATTTGTTCTATACAACATGGCACAGACATGGGTTTACACTGGTAAGGGTATCGTAGTTGTGTAGACAAACCGCAGCCTGCCAAGCTAGCGAGGAGTATCAAGATTTGCTGCAATCCATCCGAGCAGCCTTGTGAGAATCGGCCGTTGCAGCATTCCTTGATCCAATTCGATGATGATCCGATCACGCTGAAAGTTCCTGCCAACGAGTCTTCAGATTGCACGCTCACAGCATCAGGCGCGATCGTTTTGAAGCGGTTTGTTCGGCCGCTAGTCACTACTGTAGCACGGGGATCCCTCACTCTAGCGAATTTGCACGAGTGAGCCATGCTGCCAGGTCTCAGCAGTCATGCCTTCGCGACCTTAAACTTCAGAGTGGAGCTCCAAGCCGACTACCAACTGTGTGAATGCTCCGCCAATAGTGGATGTGACTGCTGCGACGGCTACGCTGGAAAGCTCGGAGATGAGCCGACTGCATGTGAGCCTGCGCTGTGCAATGTCGAAAACTCAAACGAGGCTAAGGGCTGGGACTGCGCTTGCAAGTCGGGCTATACCGGCAGCATCTCCTGGCAAGGCACCACCCCACAAGGGACATGCGCCTTGGCTCCGTGCGAGGTTGAGCATTCCGACAAGCAGCCAGGTCCGAAGTGTCGATGCATGGATGGATATCATGGCAGCATCACATGGAGCAATAGCTCGGCAGAAGGGCGATGCCTGCCAGTTCCTTGCGAGGGCGTAATTTCGAATTCCACAGGGAGTGGTCCAGGCTGCAAATGCCAAGACGGATTTGCAGGCCTCATCACTTGGAATGGGTCTCGTCCAACAGGCTCCTGTGAGCCCGCCCGGTGCGACATTCTGAATTCCAACCAGAAACCTGGCCGCGGCTGTGCTTGTCGCTAGGTGGAGCAGAACGGGGTGTCCTGGGACTTACGTTTATTGGCTTTCCTCTAGCTTTTCAGTTTTCCCTTGTATGGGGTGCAAGCTCAACCAAGGCTTAGATGCTTTTGATGGAATCATACATTGGACGGGCTCGCATGCAGAAGGAAACTGCAAGCCAGCGTCGTGCAACGATATTCTGCACTCGACCGGGGAAGGTGTCGAGTGCAGGTGCCAGGACGGCTTTGCAGGAAACATTACCTGGAAGGGGAAAGCGGCCCAGGGAAGCTGCCAGCCTGCGGTTTGCAATGTTCGGGATTCGAACAGGGAGGCTGGTGAGAGTGTGGGTGGGGTCTCGTCCACGTGGACACTGTGTACCGGCATCTTGCGATGTTGAAAATTCGAGAGGAACAGGTGCAGCGTGCGAGTGTAAAGACGGCTTCGTAGGCCGCATCACCTGGAATGGAACCAGGCCCAAAGGTAGTTGCAAGCCAGCAGCTTGCATGATCCTGAACTCGAACGACAGGAGCGGACTCGACTGCCAATGCCTTGACGGCTTCGCCGGTCGCATCGAATGGACAGGTGCGCACGCAAATGGGTCGTGCGTGCCTGCATCCTGTGCATACATCCCGAATTCGACAGGGAGGGGTGCAGATTGCAGGTGCCGAGATGGCTTCCTAGGAAAAGTCGAGTGGAAAGGTGGGCAAGCTCTGGGGGATTGCACGCCCGTGCCATGCACAATAGAGAACTCCAACATGGAGCCTGGCCACAGCTGTCGGTGCAAAGATGGGTACCAAGGCCACATTACCGTGAACGGAACGTCCATCTCGGGCCGCTGTGAGGCGGTTCCCTGCAGTGTGCTTAACTCTGATTTGGCACCCGGTCCTTCGTGCAAGTGTGCAATTGGATTCTTTGGACACATCTCATGGAAAGAAGCAACAGTATTCGGAACATGTGTGCCCAGACCTGTTTGTTCCGGCAGCATCGCATTCCTGACACGCTTGGCGGTAGATGTGGGCCCCAGCAGTTCCTGCAAGGCGGGCCAGAGCTTCCTTTGCATAGGTGAAACAGAGTTGAAAGACACAGGCGTGGAGAATCCAAGCAGTACGATTGAATGGGTTGCTGCCGAAGCTGTACCCTCCGCTCCCTGCGTGTTAGACAATTCCACCTTGGAGTTGCTGGCAGACGAGACGTCGGATAGCTGCGCACTTCCAAACTGGTGCTCCAAGGAGCCGGGACGACCCAGATGCTCGTCCGACATCGTTTACACCGTCACGGGTATTGATACATTTGGCAAGATCTGTGATGAGTGTCAGATGTCCAAGTATGAACTCGTGGAGTTCCGGGGCCGACAATGCGGATACGACCTTATTCAGTGGGAGTCCTTGACTGTTTCACCTGGGTCGCCTGCCGGCTGCAGCTGCCCAATAAATCTTGGATGTGGCGAAGCAGTTGCTCAAGAGCTTCCTCGCGCTTGCGACCATTATGCTGAGCCAGTGGTGTTGTACATTGATGACCCACAAATGGGCATGAGGCTTTTTGCCATGCTCTATGACAATGGCGGCGTGACGGTAAGTGCAAGCCCAGATCTTAGCGTTACTAACATTTAGACTTCTCCCTCTCTGTCCCTCTCTGTCTCTCTGACATTTTGACTTCTCCCTCTCTCTCTCTCGTCAGTCAGTCAGTCAGTGAGTCAGTCAGTGAGTCAGTCAGTGAGTCAGTCTGTCTGTCTGTCTGTCTGTCTGTCTGTCTGTCTGTCTGTCTGTCTGTCTGTCTGTCTGTCTGTCTGTTCGTTTTTTCAGTTGTACGTTTTCCTTTTCCGCCAGTTTGTCTTCTAGATTCTAGACACGAGCTGCAGAATTGAATGGGGGCACACCCAGAAAGAAAGAAGGTGAAGGAAAACAGACAAAGCAACAGATTGACGAAATGCCCCGAGGCAGAGGGATACAATCCATACATCGCCAACAGGATTGCCAAGATGTGCATGGAAGTTCTGTTCCAGGGCTCCATCTATTCGCGTGACGAAAGCTTTCGAGAGTTTCGACCTTTCACAAGGTCTAGGTTTTTTCTCGGAAGTTGTATCAGCGCAGGTGTATCATTGGGAACGAAAACAGAACAACACCACTGAAGGTGAGTCGATAAAGATCGAAAGCAGGATTTCGCAGACCCGGTCGGACATGGGTCCGTCTAGGCATCTAAGGGAGTCGACAAGCGGAACGAAGCCTCAACCATCGAAACACTTTTAGCACCGACGGGCTGGGGCCATCTAAATCGAAATGCAGTTTGGGGTGTAGGATTTCGGTTCTTGTGCTGCGCATATACATTCGGCCTTAACCAGACCTCGTGCTAATTTCCTAGCTGTGCTTACGTGTTTCCCGGGGGCTGGTACAAAGCGGTCATTCCCCAAAACCTCCTTCGAATGAATGAGTGTTCTCCTCTCACTCCTCCCGGCCCTGTCCTTTTCTTTTAGGTGAATGCACCTGGAAGGTGTTTGGAATCGGTGAAGCCTGGTAACGCGCATTCCCTCAAACGTTCGGTCTCTTGCTAGGCCTCCTTTCGATATTTGATGCAAAAACAAAGACACACACAGACACACACAGACACACACACACACACACAGACACACACAGACACAGACACACACACACACGCACACACACACACACGCATACACACACCACACACACA